ATGTACACACATACAAATACACACAAGGAATCTAAGCAATTTAAAAAATGTGTTGCCTTTCGACTGTGCTTTATTATCTCCCTCTTCTCTTTCCCTCACCAGGCACCCAGTGGTCTCCACAATCATACATATCTTACCTTTAAAAACTTGGTTTTAGGAAAGTAAGTCAGAAGCTCTTCCCACCTATTTTTACATTTTGTCCATTTATTTCTTAAAATTTACAATTTTAAGACTCAGGGAGCAGTCTCAGAGTTCTTCCACTCTTGTTTTAATTTCCTATTATCTACCTCTATTCCCCAATCTGCTACCTAATGAACACAATTCCATAACACTTAATGACTAATCCACTAGTTTCTCTCCCATGTTTAGTTATGTACCTTCTGTTACTGTGTTTTTCAAATTATTCTCATCACGGGTCCAGAGGTAGAGAATGCATGTGCAAATCAAATGAGCCGTCTTCCTGGCAAAAATAATTCCTGCGATAAAGCCTTAAACAGCTAGATCTAACAGCTACAAGCTTTCTGAATCTGAATGCTCACTGTCATCTCCAACCTTCCCTCATATTTCAGCTGTGTATGAAATCTGGTACTGAAAGAAGAAGGGTTTGGGAGAGTGCCAGCATCCCTCTGCTCTTTCTAAACGTGCAGATTCACAAGCTCCTGCAGGAAACTGCACACGCCTGGATTGCAGTTCTTGGAGCTAGGTTTTTGGGGATCTGGTCATCACTCTATACTGGTTCACTCTCCCCATCTACCTGTTCCATTTCCTCTTGTTTCCTTTTTATTTTTCCTCTAGTAAAATTAATAAATGAAGACTATATTAGTAGACCGTTTGCCCTGGAGTTAATTGCCATAGTGGTGGTGGTGGCTTAAATCTGCATGGATTTCAGATTTAGTGAGGTTCAAGGAAGGTCTGGGTGTATTGAACTTGAGGAAGTTCAAGCTATGATTCATGTACAGGTTTTGTTATTGATTCGGCCAGAATCTGTGAATCAAGTCTTTTTCATTTTTCATGTCTCTAACTCTGAGTCTTGTGCTGGTATATGCTAGGAGCACATACAAACGAAGAAAACTCTTATTGGTTGAGTGTGGAAACCACAATGGTTGAGATACTTTGAAGTCAGTGAACTTTGTCTCTGGAGTTCAACCTATCCTTTCTGATTTATAATGATTATCAATCTCTCTCTCCTTTTCCTCGTAGATTTAGAATGAATTAAAAATCGGTCATTTCATGACACCCAATGGGTTAATACGCTGGGTTGCAAGGTCAGTTTGATCTGCAAGGTCCGCAGTTTAAGCTCATCAGCCGCTCCTCAGAAACCCTATGTAGGGGTAGATAGGGGTCAGAAAGGACTCCACGGAACTTAACAACAACAACAGCAACAACGATTTTAATCAAAGTTGTGTCTCTCCCAGAGCTACTGACATTTTCACTTTTTATTAAAGGCAAATGAAAGATTTTGTCCACTTTTAAAATATACTAATATTCAAGAGTTGTTAAGTGCTGTTGAGTGTGTTCCGACTCATAGTGACCTTGTACAGGTTTTCCTAGGAATGGCTGGTGGGTTTGAACCAAATAAGAATGGTCCAGTGATTAGCCTACAGCACTAAGATTCAAGAGTAGCAGGTTTATTTGAGATAGAGCGTAGAAGGTACTAAACAGCTGAATTTATATCTCTCCCTTACTCTGATTCTGTAACATTACTCTATTCTAATACATTTCAGGGAAACAGATGTTCCAAATGAGTAATATGGGGTTTTCATTTCTGTTTCGTCTATTCTTCCTTTTAAATATGAAGAATGTCTCAAAATGTCACCTCTCTGGGGGCTCAGTGCGACTCTCAAACAAATGGTTATCCTCTTTAGTTTGATGAAAGGTAGATTAACTAGCCATTCCTGAATTCTAGCTTAAATATATGCTCTCATAATGGAAAAATTAGTTTTGTGATGCAATAGAGAATGTACTTTGGGATTTTAAAAATGGCCTCAACCCTATAGAACACTTCCAATGGGAGTTATTAGTACATGGACTAGAATTAAACAAAGGAAAAGGATAGACCATTTTAAGTATTTAATTATCAATCATTACCAGGTAATACCCTATTGAGTCATTTTTAGGTTTTGGATTTGAATTTAGTATTTATCAGTAATATAGAATATTAAGGATGACAGAATATTAAGGATGTTGATGGTACTAAGCCATGGGGACCTATTTTAAATTTTCTTATAAATAAGTGATGGAGTCCTGGTGTAGTGCTGTGGGTTAATGTGCTGGACTGAAAAGCTGGTTTGAACTGCAAGGTTGGCAGTTCAAGCTCACCAGCCGCTCCTGGGAAACCCTATACAGGGTTGCTGTCTGTCGGAACCAAGTAAACGGCACCAAACAACAACAACAAAAATATATAAGTGATGTTGTTGTTGTTAAGTGCCATCATATTAAGAGACTTAAAATAAAATTTTAAATTAATGTATCTTTTGTTATACATTAAAAAAGAAAAATATATGAAGTCATGAAATTTATAATATACACATTTTATAAAATAAATATAAAGCACAGGCAAATACACTTTCATGCAAGCAAAAGTTTGCTGACCCAAGGAGCTAGAGCCAAGTGCCCTCAGGTTGAGGTTTATGATGGAGTGGTATATCCTATGAGCATTTATTAACAGCCCTAGTAAAGCTTTTTAATATTGCTGAAGCAGGAGTTGCCAAGGGTCAGAGAGAAAGAAGCCTGCTTGTGGGCATGGCTGAGTATAGGCAGTACTGTCTGAAAGAACTATGCCCTGAACATTTCTGACCCTGAATTATAACTTGTTAATGTCCAACCTCTTAACTGTATGGTATCTGAGTTCTGTGTGGCCATCACAATGAATTATTGAACCCATCTGAAAGTACCATGAACTGCCAGATGAACAAAC